TTTTTTTTTATTAAAACGGATTACTTTTGGAGCATACTAATTGCAACTCTGTTTCTTAAAAAGAAAAAAAAGTGTCTGGCTGTGTGTTCCTTAGCAGTGTGAGCTGTCTAAAAAGCCTGGTTAGGGCAAAATGTCATATTTGATTAGACAAAAATAAAGCAACTTTCTTGGAGAAAAAAGAAAATGTCACTAAAGTTTTGATGCTTAGAGAATAAAAATATAATACTTATCAATATACAGAAAAACTTCATAAACTTATGCATCTGTGTTGTGGTAAAAATCAAAATACAAATGCAGGGACCACTTTTTGTGATTCTCACATCTGATCTGTCATTTATGTGAAGGAACTCCTTAAAACTGCTTGTTGTTTGTCTAGACACATATGTGCCTGTGGGTGTGTGGAAGTATATTTAGTTTTTATAATTATTTGCATGCTGAATACAAGCTGAAATAGAATATAGCTAAGATGGACTTCTGCTGCTGCTGCAGTGCAGAAGGAAAAAATAATTAGAGTTGACCAAACAGATAAGAATAAGATACTTTTTATATCTGTCTTGCTTAAGTGTTGTGGAAAAAAATWAGTAGTAGCTCATTTTAAATTATTTTATATTCAAAAGAGCTCTGRATTTGGAAGAAGTTCAGAGGAAGGCAACAGAATGATTAAGCGTCTGTAGAGATTGATTCTTCATGCAGGAAGGATTAAAATAATGGAATGTGTATATTGTGTAGACAGACTCAGACAACAATTGGTGATGGCAGATAGATCATTGTCAGACATGTTTGAGAAATTCCAATCACCAAGGGGTGAAAAGCAGAAAGGTGAGTTAATTTGGGACTTGAAGGTAAAAGAAGAAAACCACCAGATTAGGTCTGAGATTCAGAAAATAAAATAGAGGTATTATTAGATAATGGGATAGCTTCAAAACAAACAGATCAAAAATCTAGTTGCTTAACGCTTTTTAAAAAAATAGACCATAAATAACATTTGAACAGATGAAACAGAGATGGAGAAGTTGAACTATATTGGGTACCTCCCTGCTCTGAGGTTACCAGGACGTCTGAGCTCTGGTTATCACTGTGAGTAGACGTGTCCCTCAACACCCGTCACCCYTTGCCTGTTACCTGAAGGGTTTCAGCCTTCCTGCTTCCCAGCACTGGTGCTCGTGGGTGGCTGTGGGATGCTGCAGTGAAAATGCTGGTGTATCCCAGGCCACTGAAACTTGGCGTCTTTTTTTGTTCTTGTCCCTCCACCTGCTGTGTGCTCAGCACAACAGCTGCTGAGCCCTCAGCGTATTACTGGGAAGCAAAAAAAAAAAAAAAAAAAAAAGAAAAAAGTGATTTTGACCATTTTCTACGAATGATGTCTTGCTGGCTAATAATCTGCTTAATCCTGCAGGTGGATGGGACGAATCTTCAGGGTTTTACTAACCAGCAAGCAGTAGACGTTTTGCGGCACACAGGACAAACTGTTCGGCTCACTTTGATCAGAAGAGGGCTTAAGCAGGAAAACCAGCCCCAGCCCCAGGAGGACTTCAGTGCTGCGGCTGAGAAGGATTTACTGCTGCAGATGATAGACAGCAGCACAGCCACGGGTAATTAACATAGGCTTGACTTCAAAGTTTGCATGAAATGGCTTTCTTACCAGCTACTAACTGGAGGTAATGGGCCGGATCTGTTCTGAGCAGCCATTCCCAGTGGAAAGAGCCGTTGTCCATGTGTATGCAGTTCAAAAGTCCATAGCCAGCAGCAGGTTTTGCAGGTTTATTGTGTGCGTACTGAAATCCATGCATCATACCTCGTGAATCATAGTGTTTGAATGTCCACACAGATAACTGGATATATAAACAGATGTTTTCAGCTACTTATGTCATAGATATCAACAGAAGATCATAGATCATAGGTCAAGCCATAATCACCCCTCCACACAAGGGTTTTTGAAAGACAAAGGAGTGTGTTTCCTGTAGGAACCTTGTCATGCCTACATTCAGCAGATATTATGAAGGAAATGCTCAGAAAATGCTGCGTCTCTTACCTGAAGTTGTTCAAGTCTGTTGATAACCAATATCATACCTAAAAAAGTGTTGCAATAGAAGAGACTTTCTAAAAGTGGAAAGTCTGTCAAGTGTCCAACCCCAAGGTGTATGGGATTTTTCTTGCGCTGCATCAGATTTTGAATTGTGCACAACACAGAAGGAGGAAAAATATAAGCATGACTTTAGCATGTATATGCTAAAGAATGCTAAATTTGTTACAATGAGAGTTACAATGAATATTACAATGCATAAACTAACTAAAGGAACCTTCTTTCTTTTCCAGAAAACAGTGAAACAGAACAGGGAGCACCACCACTGCCATGCAGCACCAGTGTGGTAAACATTGGAGAGGAGATTAAACAACAGGAAACAGGTTCCCAAAGTTTAATTTTTTTTTTCCGTTAAAATGCATTTAGTTGTGCTTACACGGAGAGCACATATTTTGTGTGCCTTTACAGTCAAGGTGTGCTGTGTATCTGAGGTTGCGCAGTTAAAAACTTAAGGAATCACACTTGAGAGTATGCACGGGGTGCTAGGGAGCACATACAGCCACTGACAACTGCTGTGTGCACCAGAAAAAATGATTTTGTCTGTGTGTTTGAGACATCCTATGAAGCAGCATAGCTATTTGTCTCTCTCTGTCTCTTTTTTTTTTTTTTTGGTCTAGTAATGTGTGTTCACTTGAACTGCTTTATTAAGCCTTTTCCCAGTTTGGTCCCCATCCTGCCCACCACCATGCCTTATCTTTCTAGCTCTTTGCAGCTTTATAGCTACAGCTCCAGACTTTTTCCTCTTGTGATAAACTTTGTCAAATGCCCAAGTCTGCATTCATTTCAGTCTGTATTCTCTGGTAATGCTTGAAATTTGTTTGCTTGTGACTCACTCTTACAGTCTAACTTTCTCATTTTCGTTATAGAAATTCTTACTTTCCAACAGATATTTCCATTCCTTCTTAAACTCTCAGGCACAGTGCTTGTGCTTTGGAAGTCCTGTCTGGTGATGCATTTTTCAAATTGATAGAGAACATGATGTGTGACATAACGTTTCCTAACTTATGGAGGTAGCGGGGAGCTGAAAAACATGATGTGTGTGAGTTCTGTAACGTGTATCTTTTCAAAACTTCTGTTATTCTATAAAGCCGAAGAATTTATTTTTAAGAGTTTCCCTTCAGATATTGCTAGGTATTCTGTTTGGGGAAAGTATCACCTCATTTGAATGCCACACAGCATCTAAACAGATGGCTTTATTTTTAGTAAAGTTTCAGGGCACTGACTAAACATTTCATAGAGCTATTAGGTACTTTTGTTTCTTACAGAACTCAGTGTGAATTGGGAGCTTACCTGTTTATATTTGTATGAAGATCCTAGCCTTTGCCTGTGATGAACATTCAGAATTTAAGAGTTTATTTTGATATTTCATGTGTGAGCAGGACAGTCCTTGTAACTTAATTTTCTGTTAAGTCTGCTGTTTCATTAGGTTTGCTGTCAAAATATTGTGGCTATGTTTCCTGTTGTAGAATCTAAGCTCTTTGAATGAGGAGAAAATGAGCAGAAAAAGACTATTTACTTACAGCTTGTATATTAACTTGCAATCAAGTTAAGAGTCATTGCAGTTTGCTTTCTTGACTGTTGTTTTATTTCTCACAGCATCTCCCCTTTTCTTCTCAGCTCCTCTTCCAAAAAGTATTCATTGGTGGACTACAACTATGAGAATTATATGTGTGTGTGTGTGTGTGTGTGTGCGCATGTGAATCTAATGGAAAGGAAAAATCCCTAGGATTTGCACTCTCTCACTGCCCTCTAGGGTCTACAGTTAACAGAAAAAAAACCAAAAAGCCCTCTTTAGCATTTATTCTCACAGTTTTGAAATCATTGTTTAATTCCTCCCTTCTTTCCCCCCTTGCTTCCTCTCTCTCTCTCTCTCTCTCTCTCTCTCTCTCTCTCTCTCTCTTTCTCTCTCTCTTTTCTCTCTCTTTCCCTATCTCTCTGTCCCTCTCTCTCTCTCCCCTTTCCCTCCTTCTCTTCCCTTTCTTTGTCTCAAGCATAATCCATACAAGTTAGTCTATATATACAAGATATGCTCAGGAGGAACAGTATGCAGTGTCATGTCTGTTGATAATTCAGTCAACCAAATCCATACAAGCAGCCCACATATAGCCTCCTTAGTTACCTGGGGTGTGTAGTTTTTTGCTTCTTTTGAGTCCGTTTTCCTGGTAAGGTTACACTGATGTCTGAGGCTAGTTTAAATATTTGTCCTCTGAAGAAAAATAGATAGTTTGGAAGGCTGCAAGTTCATTTAGTGATATTTGTTTGGCACCCAGGCCAGCTGGGAGGCATAAAGGAGGAAATGGCACTGAAGATGAGAGAGATGAGCAGCAATTTTGGGCATGGCTAATGCCCAGCCTAGGATCAGTGTGGGGGGCCAGTGGGGCCGGTGTCTGTCCATATGCTGCTGTGTGCAGGAAGGAGCATCCCTGCCCCAGTGCGGCACCCACCGCTGCTGTGCCACCCTCCGGAGGGTGAAGAACATGACCGTGTACTGCGCTGCACGTCACCCTGCTGAATCTAGTAGTGTGGTTTGGTCAGTGCAGTAAGTAAAGCTTACATGATGAAAGGGGACAAAATTACCTCATCTTTTTGAAAGCTTTTTTTTTTTTTTTCTATTAAATTTTCTTATTTATTCCCATTCCTTGGTGAGGCAAAAAATGTCAAGGTTTTAGTCACACCTAGGAGGGCACTGGTGTCATGGAATGACTTGCATGCCAGGCATAGGATAGACAAGAGTGTTTAGTTTGCATCATAGTAATTTCAGACATAACTTTTAGATTTCCAGTTAACAACTGCAGAAGAAGTATCTCTGAAGAATAAATGGCAGAGAATTATGGGCTTAAATTATGAGATAGTGGTAAGTAAACCATGATTATTGATTATTGTTGTTAAATACCTTTGATCCATCTGTCTACTGTATCGATTACATATAGATATGTATAGTATTTTTTGTATTTTTGTATTTTAATATATACAGGGTATTCATTTCCTTCTTTGCTGAGATGATTTTATTTCAGTTATAAATTTTGAGTATATACTTTTTATATTTTTTCCAAAGATTCTGGAAGAATAAGCTTCATAGGCTTCAAAAGTTGATATTTCTTTCAATATTGGTAGTTGTTTTACAGGTTTTGTACCTGGGAGGTAAATTAGGGAAAATAGAATTTTTGAGATGAACATCAAGACTCGATTAGCTAGAACTTAAGGCTAGAGTCTGAAATCTCCTTTCCACTCTGTATACTGAATGAATTCCTTTCTAATGTAGTGATCTAAAAGACACACAGGATATTTAATTTTAACTAATAATTAAAAGAAAAAAACAGTTCCTGAGTTTGGGACTTTATTTCAAAAACATATTCCCCAAACTGTATTTTCTACAAAATTTTGCTCTATCATTTGGTTATTATATACAGTTTCTGCTTGTATATGCTGAAATAATGCATATTAATGAAATAACCCAAGTTGCAGTTTTTACCTGATTGTCCCTTGATGCAACCATTTTTGCAAAAAATCAAACTTGAGTGCAGAGAGACTCTTCCGTATTTTGCAGTGATCATACTGGATAAGATTTTATTTCAATTTCTGTACTGCAAGAATGTTTTGGCTGTTCTTGCCTCAGAATCTGAAACACTATAAAAATGATGATATAAAAAGTAGATATAGAATTAGATTATCTTTTGTCCACACACATAGTTGTCAGGATAGATACATTAAACCAAATCTGTTTTTTTTTTCTTTTTGTTTCCTTGGTGAGCAATACTTTGAATCCATAGCAGTATTTTTCTTCTCAAAATAGGTAACATTTTTTTGAGATTGCAGAACTTTCTCTAGATATGGTCTAGCCATCCTAGTATTTATGCAGTAATTGTATTTCCCTCTCAGTGTATTTCCCTCCCATCTTACTGAGAAGTTAAATGCAGATGATTTCTCCTAGCTGCAGTTGCTGTTTCCATTAGTATTGTTAAGAAATAGAAAACCCAAACTAATATCTTTGAATGCTTTTTTTGCATCCTGAAAGGTTGCATTACACATGACCATGTTTCTAATTTTGCAGTTCTGAAATATTCACTCCCTTCTATGTGAATTGAAGTGGAAATTTATCCACTTTAAATATACCAAAGGTAACTTTTCCGTTATCTTCTTTTAGGTGGTTGTAGTTAACAAATTTAGTGAAAGCAGTGGGTTAGGAATAAGCCTTGAAGCTACGGTGGGACATCATTTCATCAGATCTATTTTACCAGAGGGGCCAGTTGGACGAAGTGGCAAGCTGTTTAGTGGAGATGAACTACTTGAGGTAAGAACAAACCCCGACCTTCAGTCTGGCTTCAGTAAGATCCTTGTGGAATGCCTTGATTTTCACAGGTTTTGACTTGGGAATATGGCTTATCTTATTGCATATCAGTGCTAGTGAGAAGTGTTTGAGCAATCACTTCATATGCACTCTTATGCATATTTATTTATGCAAATATATCCGCCAATATGACATACATCTGTCCGCTAATAGCTGATTTTTTTCAGAAATGTAACTCAAGGTGACCAAAAAACAATACTTAACAAAAGAATTAAGACTTAATAGAGATATCTCTACCCATGACAGGTCTTTTATAAACCATTTTCTGATAATTAAAATGTGAATTTCCTTCCCATGATTTCAAGGAATCCAAATCATCCATCTGTTTTCATACTTAATATGCCAATTCTCACATAAATGTGCTAACACTCCTTACTAAATTCCACCGTGTTTCTTATCGACATCTTCCATATCGTAACTGGGATTTCTTGCCTCAGAGGTGCCAGTGTTTATGGGTTTTGTAAGGTTGGCAGGCAGTTTATGGGACATAGCCATTCAGCTCAAAACTTACTTAGGTGTCAGTTTTTCTAGAAAGAAGCTTCTGTATTTCAACAGAACCATTGATATTTTCAGTTAATATTTTTTTAAAGCTTTTATTATTTTTTATTATGCTAAGATTTATTTTTTCCTTAAGGTAAATGAGATCTCTTTGCTTGGAGAAAATCACAAGGATGTGGTGAATATCTTGAAAGAATTGCCTATTAAAGTGACCATGGTGTGCTGTCGTCCAGTAGCTCCACCTATCAGTCACCCAGAAATGCTGGACAGTCTAAGTCTCTCTGAGGTTCAGCTCACAGAAAAGGTATTGTGTTTTAAAGTTATTAAGAAATGTTTCCTTGAGTAAAACCTACGAAGTTGGTTTGAAGCTGGTTTGAAGAATGTAGAAGTGTAGAAGATTAGAAGGACTTTTTAGTATTTGAGAGTTTGGAATCAAGTAAATAGTGAAAGACAAGTTATATTCACTGACCCCAATTTAAAACAACCAGAAGCTATAGGTACTTGTAATCCATGGCAAAAAAAAATCTGGAATCCAAGAATATCTACTCATCTGCTCTGCAGGTGGGCTGTGTTGGTGTAGCAAATTGGACTAGTGTGTAGAGTCTGAATATATATTATCCGATTTTGAACTTAGCTTTCTGGTTTTCTTTGTTGTATCTTGTTGTACACTGTCTGGCATATGCGTTTTTGTCATTCATAACTTCAAAGCTCTGCGTAATCTGGTGTGCTTACCATGTAGAAAAGGTATTTGTATGAAAAGAGTCATGGTTATTTTCAGTTCTGGTTAAGGCACAAAGGCACAAAGTTTATCTTGTTATGAATAAAAAAAAGAGAAAAACATATACATATGTGCATGTGCACATGTTTGTCTTCTTTTTAAAAAATGTTTTGACTTCTGTCAGTAGTAGTATGTTCTGATCAAGGCCTGTTTTTAATACAGCATTTAATAACTGGTATTGCCTATRTATTTAAATTAATGAGAATTTTCTGAAGTAGTCAGTTCGTATACTCATCAGTGAGTGCCTTAGTTCAACATAGGTCTTTTCCATCAGATATGTTTGTAACTATATTGAGTTCTTAGTCTTTCACTATGTTTAAGGAAACCTCACTTTGTTTTTTATCTTGTTTTATCTTCTAGTTTAATCTTCTAGTTCATGAACTTTTGCAGTTGGTAGATTTTCCCTGTCTTTTCCAGGCTCATGTAGACCTTGGATTCATTGGCTCCTCGGATACAGAGGGAAGGGTTTTGGAAATTGTTGATGAAGATCAGAATATGGAAGAGGTGCAAAGCTCTTCYTTAGCCATGTGGGAAACAGAAGTACAGCATATTGAGCTGGAGAAAGGGAATATGGGGCTTGGATTTAGTATACTGGACTACCAGGTAACTTCTATATTCCTTCCTCTGAGCAGAGAACACTTTGCCTTGGTTGAAACTCAGTCTGGGATCCAAGTTTTTTTTTTTTTTTATGTAAATGTTAATGTAAGATAGACAATATAATAAAGCCACGTGCATGTCAGTATTATCAAACGTGCTTTAGTTATGTTATTATTCCTTTTACTGTAGTAAAACTGTAGCTTCTATCATAGTAATCCAGAAAAAATAATTAATAGTATACAAGATCTGCAGGAACCTCATCTCCTGATGCCCCACAGGCAGTGAATGATGTACACCTCTCAGTATATTCAGGCATCTAGCCATATATTTTGTACCTGCATTTGGGTGCTTAGAGCTAGATCCAATAAAGGACTTAMGTGGTTAAAGCAGGATTTACTAAAATCCAGAACTGTGATTCTGAAATCCCTTGCTTAGCTGCTGTCTAACCAGGGCGTGCCTAAGTACTCCTTCATTTTGTKTTGGATTTCAACCCCCTCTGGCCTCCAAGTCTGTGATTTTTGTTGTGTCCAAATATGGGAATGTAAATCAGTTGTTGCTTGTGGCTTGGGTGTCAACATCCAAGAGCAAACACTCCTTCCTTCAAGAAATACACCTAAATTTTAGCAAGAGAGGAGAGTGGAGGTTGTTCTTTGTTTCCTATTGTCTCAGTACTTTTTTCAAAAGTCAGATTATTTCTTCCCATAGTCTGTATAGGCTTCTACTGCAGTGCTAGATGGTACCACAGAAGTGTTGGTCACCCAGTTCTCCATTGGATCTTATCCTTAAATGCACATTTCTATTTGCATATAGAGCAGTTGAAAATTATGCCCATACAGCTCTGTTTTGGGTTACTCTGGACCCTGGAGATATTTTGCATCTGMAAAATGGTAGCAATATGCACAAAGCAGGGAGGTATAGTAACGACCACAAAATCTGAGGTATAGCTAAATATCTCTTCTGTGCAGCAGTGATACTGCTGGTGGCCTTAACTGAGACAGCACAGCTGAACTTGAGCTTTTCCAATCCACGTCAGCACAGTGGTAGAGCATATTTTTCAACCTCAACCTACTGTCTCCTGTTCTATGTTGAAACAAATACTGTCTGTATGGTCAGTTACAGCATTTCAGTTTTCTACAGTCTTCCAGTTCTGGGAYACTTTCTGGGAATTCTTCTGAGAATCTGAAACTTACTTATATTTCTTTGGGATTTCATATTTGTGATTTATTCAATATTTTTTTTTTTCCTGTGGTGTGGCTAAAGCCTTCTAGCTTGTCACTGAAGTTGATTCCTTCATCTGGAAATGTGAACAATAGATTTAGAGCGATGTATTCCAAAGAATGTGTGTCATACCCTTCATCTCAAATGACCATTTAAATACTTTCTGGAGAAATAATGAGAAAACAGTGTTTAGTCCCAAGTAATACCATCAGCAGTGATGGCTGTAGTTCAACTTGTAAATTGCTCTGTGGCAGCTTCCTTATTGCATTAATTACCATGTGCTGCCAAGGCGCTTCTTAGTCTCCCTTCTTCCATCTCCCTGTTTCTCTCAGATTAGCTTTGAGCAGTCTCTTATTCCCATATTTTTAGATGCTGATTTCATGATATGAGTCGTCAGTTGTACATCTTGACATGGAAACTTGATACCATTGTCTGCCAATTTGTAAATGTTTGCTTTTCTCTTTAGTATCAGTAAAGCTGATACTGTGTTACATTTCTTGTCTGTTTATTTTTCTTTTCTTTTTTCTTTTTCTTTTTTTTTTTTTTAACGTGCAAGCACACAAGTGAATAAATATGTTGGTAGCGTTAACATGTTAACATGTGTTCTGTGTGAATATAATTGTGTAAGAATTATGCAAAGGTTTTTCTGCAGCAGAACTGTGTCCCTCTTCTTAGCATTTGATGGTAACATGTTTATCAAAATCAATGTATTGGAAAGGAGGGACTATAAAGCAGTTTTCTTTCTGAAAGCAAACTTTGCTTTATTGTTTCTTGTTCATTGAAAAGTATTGTCCTGCTATACTGCTGTCTGTCTTGCATGCATTTATAAAGTACTTTCTCAATTGAGTGGGCTCTGGTGTTTTGAAGTACAAGACCACTCGTGAAAATAGCAACATTGTTCAAGCAGCTGAGTACAGGAAGGCATAAGTTAGTGATGATTTCATTTCGGCAGAAATGTTTGAATTTCCGGTGGGTAACTATTTATTAAAATAAAAAGTTGTCTCTGTGCACTTCATCAGGATTTTATTCCTAAGATAAACTAGTAATAATTTTCACACTTAAGACTTGAAAATAGGTGCAAGCCTAAATATATGGACAAGAAAGTAAGCACCTAGTGAAGTGTAGGAACTGGTTTCAATTTTTAAAAGTTAATGCATAGAAATGAAATAGGAATAAAAACTGATTGTTTTTCTTCTTTCACCTGATAGGACCCCGTGGACCCAGCAAACACTGTAATTGTGATTCGCTCCCTGGTTCCTGGTGGTGTGGCTGAACAGGATGGCAGACTCCTTCCTGGAGACCGGCTCATGTTCGTCAATGATACCAACCTGGAGAACGGCAGCCTGGAAGAAGCGGTACAGGCACTGAAAGGAGCCCCGGCAGGAACAGTTAAAATAGGAGTTGCCAAACCACTTCCTGTAAGGATCTGGGATAAAATGGGTGCTTTTTATGTCTTTTCGGGTGGTATATTGTATATGTTTTTCATTTGCCACATGCATTTCACATGCATCTAGAAAAACATTGTAAATAGTTTCCTGTRCTTCTTTGCACATTTAGCAGGGGTCTGTACAATTTGTGAATACTGTAGAGACTCCAGCACTCTTGGCATGCTTATCTTCTAGATCAGGGCTTGTAGCTGAGGAAACAGCAAAGTATCTTGCAACCAACACAGTCTTTCAGGGCTTCAGCCTGCCAAGCATAATTTTGTAACTTTCACAAAATCTTCAAATGTGTAAGATGGTGGCATGAAGTCAATTTTAGGTTGTTTGTCTGGAATTTGCAAAGTCTGCTTTGTGAAGCCTGTTCTGCTGTAGCTGTAACATATAGACAGTCTTTGTATTCAGACTGCACATTTTATATTAAAAGGCTGCTAAATAGCCTTCAGCTCAGATACCATGGGCTTACTGGTTATTTTCATATGCCCGTAATTGACGTGGGGCATGATTATAGAAGGTTATCTGTAGCAGTTAGTAAAATTAAGTTATAGAAATGTCATTAGCCGTTCCAGTAACTCAGACCTAYCCTGTATGGTGACTCAGGAATACCAAGGAACTCAAGACACTGAAGTCCAGTAGCAGCAGGACTACCTAGGTAGTGTGTCTGTCTACAAATGTTACACATCCTTGCAGTTGTCTTTTAGGGATTCACTCTSTGTATCTGGGACAGCTAAGAGTCCTCATTGTGCAGTGTCTAAATAAGTCTTGAAATATTTTGGTGTATATATAAGTGCCATAATCTACAAATAACAGAGAATTTAGACTATTGCCTAGGATGGAAAACAGCTATTTAAAGATCACATAGAGGGAGGATACATTTAAAGAGCTCAGGTCTTCCTGAACTGTAATTCATTTCTTCAGTAACATCTCAGAGAAAGAGATTAAAAAAAGCCAGTGCAAACCTGTTGACTTTTTCTGAGTTACCCGGAGTAAAGCTGGAGTGCGAACGGGAGGTCTCAATGTGTTATGTTTAAGTTAACGAAATGGCACCAGTTTATATGAACAAAGAAGATTGGCTCACTGTTTTTGGAAGCCCAAACGTGGTGTTTTGGGCTTGCTTTTGCCTCTTTGTGAACTTTAATTAACGATTTGCATCCATAAAGACTTCAAGATGAACATTTCAGAAGTTCTTAGCAGTGTTTTTATGTGTGAGAGGGTGGACAGGGAGTGAGAATGAAAGTTTTTTTAAGTTATTAGGGACTGTTTTTTTTCTTTTTATTGCAAGAGGACATTTTTTAGCTGGCTCTGCAAAATTATTTTTTTTGTAATGTAGACTGTTGGGCACTAACATGTCTTGAAAATCAACATTTGTATACTTAAGAAAATGTCAGCTCAAAAGATGGCTTGTGTGAGTGTTCCTTTGCTGCACCCAGCATTACATAAAGCTTCAGTATTTGAACTTTAATATTTCACCTATTTAGGCTTTCTAATTAATTAAACATTCTGAGTAATCCTCTTTTTTTTTCCTTGAAAGACTAGACAGATGCACATAAAATCAGATTATGTGAGGAAAGCTACTGATTTTCAATATTAAGTGTGTTTTTCCTTTTGTGTCTACTCCATTCAGCAGATATAGTCTTAGCACTGTCTTCATATGTGTTAAAACATAATTACTTGTGGCTAGTGAGGCCTTTACTGTTGGGCTGCATTTCTGCATTTTCTGCATTCCTAGTGGAAGCTCTGAGGGCTTTTTTAGAAAAGGTTTAATAATAAGAAAAGAAATTTAGAATGAATGAAGATGAAGTTGTGGATACTGTGGTATAGAGGCATGCTTGCTTTTCGTTGCTTGTGCACATGAAACAGCATTGTGAAGATGGATCAATTCAGGTAATTAAAAAAAAATGGCGAGAGAGACAAAACCAGAGTTTGTTTGCTTACCCAATGGTGTAACTGTGACTGCGATGAACTCTTGGCTACCTTGGTGTCCGTTTGCCCCTCTGAGCTCCCTTTGCGATGCGCTCTGCCCRTCCTCCGTGCTGGCCACCGGTCCGACTCAGAGCTTCGTTCTCTCTGCAGCTGTCGCCAGAGGAGGGCTATGTCTCTGCTAATGAAGATTGCTTTTTCCGCACTGCCCAGTCACTCGAGGAGGGCCCAGCTGATGCAGCCCTCTTCCGTGCTGAGCTGGCTCTGGTTAGTGGCCCAACTTACCAACAATTTGGTTAAGTCCATGCGCTTTGTCATGGAAAGGGGTTTGCTTTGTCACTGTTCATGCTTACTTCTCATCATTGACTGTCAGTACGCTGTTCCTCCACCCTAGCTGGGACCGTTCTCCATGTGGTGGAAACTGGCATCTGGAGATATTGTTTGTCTGCATGAGCCCTGGATCTGGCCTGTGATATTTTAATTGCTGGAAAACAAGGATGTGTTTTGCTGAGATTTTCAAAAGAGCATGGCCACCCACTTCTGCTTGTATTCATTGAGCATCCCTTTGAAAATCTCACTTGGTGTGCAGGAATGTTCATGCACTTGTTTTATAAATAAGTCTCTTCACTTGCGTTTCATAACACCTCTTCCTCCTTTCCCAGATAGCCGAAAAGTTTGTGGAACTTAACAGTCTGCATGTAAACCAGCCTTATGAGGAACACTGTCTTTAAAGTTGCGACTGCTTCATCCTAATAGTATTCTTCAGACACCAGCATCTGTCAGTGATTGTGAGATTTGCAGAGTTAAAGGGTTTCATATATAAATAATGAAACTTAACTGAGTGTTAAAAAGTTGCCAATAATATTTCAGATAAAYGAAAAAGAAGTGTGTGTTTTTTCCTGATTATTCATACTGATCTGGGCCTGATTTTGGAATTGAATTTGTCTCTATTTTGAGGAGCATGAGTAGGGAAGTAGGTTGTACTAATTAACAGAATTTAACATGTTAAAACTAGCAAAACAAGCAAAACAAAAAATGCAAATCAACAAGAAAAAAGCTAAATGGATCCTTTCTCACAGAAAAATCTCTGAATTACTGATTCCTGGATGCTTGTTGTCTTTTGACATCTTTGCAATGATTTGCAGTGATTTTAACAATATGCTTTAAAAGAGACTGCCTGTCTTCTCCGCCTCATTTTTAGTATATTGATACAGTAGTTAGACTGCTAGTTACTTCAAAATAACAGGATTTGTCTTCTTCCGTTCATTGAGAAAAAATAGGAAGGAAGTAGGTTAGTAAAAATATGCTTTTATGTGGGGAAAAGAAAGTCAGATGAAATTTAAGGACATAAATCTTTATTTCGTACATAAACATTTTAAAAATAATGCTGAGTAGTAGTGAAAATGCATATCTGCTAAATAGTTAATTTTATATAGTTAAAGTTATCAAAGTTAAATGTTAATATAGTCAAATTTGTCAAAGCTGCTCTGGCTTAATTGCAATATGTTAAATKAGTAATTTTATCGCTAAGGATGGACTTAAAGAGCAGACTTGCAGAGAATTATTTTTCTTCGATAAACCTACACTCAGATTCGAAAGCTCTTCCCTCTTCTTGCTGTCTTAGTTTCAGGCTCCCTTAGCATTAATCTGTATTTTCCAGAAGATGGACTGGAAGTAAGTACCTCAAAGGACTAGTGTGAATTTGATGCTTGTTCTTTGAGGTTGAGACAAACAAGTAAAAAAGTACTATTTGTGCCCTCCACAAAATACTTTTTCCCTCCTAATGTCAGAGTATTGTGAATCTTGTGAATCTGCCATGATAAATTCACAATATGATTAACCATAAAGCCTAAAAAATGTCATTTAGATCTCATCTCTGCCGTTTATTGCTTGGGTGCCCTTATCTGCTTCCCAAGAGCTTCCAACATGGCCATGATTCTGAGATCATTGATCTGCTTTATAYTAGCATACACTGCTCTCTTGAACTCTACCAGAGAGGATGAAAATAGAATCTAAGTTTGGTATGTGAAGCACCATCAAATTTGTATTAGAACTGAATTTTGCTCTAGGAAAAGTGRAAATCTTTAAAAAAATTATTTAATCTGAGGAAGTAGGAAAAAGATTGAATAGTATCTATGTCTGGATCACTTTTTACATTTTTACTTCTTTTTGTAAGACAGGACAACAGTCCTTATATTATTRCCTTCTTGTTATTGAACATTTTAGAAATGAAAATATAAAATCAAATATTTCATAAATGTTTTTTGTAAGTATTTTGGAAAGTATTATACCTTCCAGAAGATTATATTCTGTGTGCTTTTAAAAGCAACAAAACCTGTGAAGTTGCATGAGGAACATTCCTGAAATGTGTCATTTAAACAATAGCTTTTTTTTTTTTATTCTTACATCATTAATTCTTGTAAAAAGAAAAAAAAAAAAAAAAAGGAGAGAAGGAAAACTAAATCCCTAAACAACAACAACAAAATACCACAGGGAATGGAGCAGAGTTTTCTTACCATCTCCTACTTCTAATAATAGACACTAACCTGTGTCAGCTCTAAAATGCATTTCAGTTCATTTATTTCACATATTCCTTAACAACCTCTGAAGTTGGAGCAAGATGAGTTGCGATGAGAGGCAGAAATTTTGCGTATGGCACAGCACATGTAAAATTCCTTCATAAAGCCCAGGGTGGAAAAAAATAGATAAAGGCAAGTTGCCAGTCAGTGTGTGGCGGCTGATGTGCATGTGTTCAGGGCTAATGCGGAGCGGAGGTGAGGAGGGATCCCAGCTGATTAAATTGCTGTTGTTGCTAGGTGGACTCCAGCGAGGCAGACCTAGCGGACGAGTCCACCTTCGGGTCGCAGTACTCGCCGGACAATGACGGCTCCTTCCAGGCGTCCGTGCTAGCCCTGCGCGGCAGCGATGAGCTCGGCTACGGCCTCTCTCTGCCGTCACCTACTCCCAAGGTAACACGGAGGATGGGGTTTGTGGATGGCAGACTTGGCCAAGGCTGTGGGGAGGCTCTGTGTTTCTTTGGTGGCAGCAGCTTTATGAGATGGAAAGGCACTGTGTTGCCACAGCTCCATCTACGCCTATGTTTGCTGCCATTTAAGGTGCAGTTTTGCTGTGGGGAAGTGCTGGTGTCTTTTGGATGCCCTCACTGAGGAGAGAGGCAGCTGGAAGGGTCAGTGCCGGGGCTGCCTTCTGTGCCGCCTTCTGAGCGGCTGTGGGACTATTTGCAATGTTAAAGTTGTAGTGATCAGTCTACTATGGAGAGGTTAATGGTTACGGCTTCTGAGCTAGTTGGAGAGTGCTCGCCCTAAGTAACCGCTCTACAGTATTTTAGCCACCRAAAACCAGAGCAAGATTTCATCAGAAATTTTGTTTTTATGCTGTGCAGTTAAGAATATTTGATAATATACAGTGTCCTGGAATCAAACGTTCACAATGATATTGTAATTAAAATGCCATTTATAGCATTTCAAATCTCTGGTTGCTACTTCTAAGTAGTATATAAAGTCAGTAAATAAGTTCTTCAAGATTACTTTTTGTTCTTGTCGGTCACATACCTATATTGAATTGTTTTTGATGTCAGTGATGGTGTTTAGTTTCTCTCCTTGTTTTTTCTTCCTCATTTTTCCTGTCGACCTACAGATTTTTCTCTCTAATCCAGAGTGCTTGAAGTTCCTTCTAAGTGCACCTGATTTCTGAAAGCAGCAATAGAGAACTTCCTTCCAGAGCTCTTCTCCATGTGTGCTGCTCACAGAGACCTAGGTGCCTCATTTTTTCTCCACATCTGAGCTTCAGTAACCATCTTTTTCCTTGCTGGACTGTGTTCAGCCCTTGCAGGGTGCTTGTCTGAAAGCTGAGTTCATCTTCTAATGGACTCTTCTAATCCTCAGTAGAGCATGTCTTCGCTGTGCCAGTGGGACAGCTTGCATTGCTTAACTCTGTAATTGTTACTTAAAGGGATTATGCATATTGCATGCTGAGAAGCATTTTATGAGATATAGACTGGATTTACATTCTGTATTGAGACTGTCAGAAGCTTTAAATTATTTTCAGCATTGACTTGAAGAAGGTTTTTGTTCGCTTTTTGTTTTTTAAGATTGTCATCCTGACATTTCACTCTTTGTGCAGTTGTTTGCACCGCTGTGACCAGACTGTTAAGTTCTCTTCAGATAGCATTTTTATTTTTTGCAGAGTTATGAATGTCTTTATGAAGTAAACATAGTGAGGAAATAAGTTCTTAAAAAACCACTTTAAAAGCAGCTATGAGATGCAATGAACAATTAGGTACTATGAGGAACGCAGAACTATTTCAGCTATTTCTGGTGATAAGGCTGACTGAAATACWTGCCCTCAATTCCTTTGCTGTGACTTTTAAAGTAGGTGGTGTAAAATGTGCTAAAGCAAAGTAACATAAATGATCTAATGAGGCCACACATTCTTGCTGCCCCAAATTCCTGAAGATATGTTTATCTTAAAAGATTAAATCATTGACCTCTCTTTAAGTGAAGCAAAAATAAAGGATATGCACCACTGCTTTGTATTTGGTAGCACATGGAATAGATGTTGAATATGATATGGATTTTGGTAATAAGTGTGTTTTCACTGTTTTGGAAATGGTTATATAAAAAGACTTAAAAGTAGGCATGACAGCTGTTACTGAAACCTTCTGAAATCATTTAAATAGATTAGAGTCCTAGTGTTCTGTCCTCTAAAAGGTAGGAAATGATTTCTTGATTGCATCATGCTATTAGTGGTATTTAGGCTTTGTTCTATTATCTTCTCAGAACTTAAAGCAGTTGTTCACAGGTGAACAGTTTTTGATGGTTGTTGGGGTCAGTTTCCTCCAGAATAGTTGCCTTCTTTCTTTCTGTTGAGTTTTGTAAATTGTAAGGAGTCTGGTAAGCATGGCATTTGCTCTTGACCTCTGAACAGGAACTGGCTAGCTTGCATCTGTGTCCTAATTGCAATATTTGGATGCTTCTTTATTTTAGGAAAGATGCAATGTTAATTGGCACACAGCAAAAAGAATGAAGCAATTGCTTTTGGGTCTCACTGAGTTTTTCTGGACCTTTGTTTAAAGTATGATTGGAACCAGGGGAGTTCTCCCATGAAGGACTTTCGCCTCATGTTTATATTCCAGGAGGTGGAATTTTTGTTTTGTGGAAAGTGGATCCTCTGAATCGTTAGTTTTGTTATCTGTATAAGAAATGTGTCAAAGAGCAAGTACTAAAGTACTTTGTGAAAAGATGTAGAAAATCAATTCTAATACCTTTCATAAACAATGTTGCAAAATGTAACAGAAAGCTTTTGTGAATTTTGATTTAATATCTTCTCTAATATAAACTGGAGAAACATCCTTTTTCTACTTTTTGGGAGAAGGAATAGAAGCATTAACAGGAATAGCAGCTGAAAAACTAAGACAGACATAGATTCTTCTGTGAATATTTACTCTAATAAGCAGTGAAACAAATAGTATGGGTATGGAACTTCTGTGTCCTTGATGCATCTTCTTAGTAACTAATGCCTTGCTTATTTTCAACATTACTTTGAAAACTGAGATAAGGATTTTTTTTGTGGATGTGAGAAGATAGTTATTCAAATTATTTAAATATGGRTATATGAAGTTAGGCAGCTTAGAATCTTAAAAATGTAACAGTCTGAGAAATCAAGTAAATTTTAGAGTAAAACCTGTAAAATCTATTGAGGATACTGCCATGACAAGAAATGTATTTACATTCCGTAAAATTAGTTCCTGCTGAAGATTTTAGCATGGCATGTACATTCTAATTTTACTAGAAAAGTGTGTGATTTACTGTCTCCTCTATTTAACAGACTGATGGAGAGAAAAGCTCAAACACTGCAGCTGATTTCCAAGTATCCAGCAAAAATCTGTACAACATGGATGTGAATCAGAGAGTGAGAGAGAAAATGCCTCTAGCAGGCAAAAGCTTGGAAACTGCCACTGGTTTTACTAACACAGACCTTCTACCTCTGGATGTTACGGATATCAACCAAAATGAAAATGAAAACACAGGAACTTGGACTGCACCTCACGCAGTAGAAGATGCACAAAATGCAAACCTTCCTACTACAGTGCAGCTGGATCCCACTGGAAAAGTAAAGGTATTCTTTTGAAAGAGGAAAAAATAGAAACACTATATTAAATCATAAAAAAAGAAGAAAAAAATACCTTTTCTACAGAAATTGACACTGGGTAACTACCATACATGGGTGTTTGATTATAAATGTCAGAGACAGATGTGGTAAATCTGTCATAGACATTTACGGACAAAACAGGAGTTGAGTTATGGCCTAAAGTTAGCCATCTCCCTGAGAAGGGAGGTTTTTGGGAATGTAAAAGTCTGCTCACTTCTCATGTCAGTAGGCCGTGGTGAACCGCAGTGGGGCAGCTGGTCTTGCTGAAGTGACGATTTTCTTCCCCCTTCCCTCTTAATCTCTGTRGATCTGTGGGTGTGAGAGGGAGGGAGGCACATCGCTGGAAACTAGCTGGGAAGCCAAGGGAGGAATTTGTGCAAATGCCTGACATTCCGGTACTCACACAAGGTCACACAGTTCAGCTCATAAACTATTCTGTGACACTGCACAGTTTTTCATAATGACAGTCCCTATGATGTGTGTATATATTCCTTCCATGCAGTTATTTATTAAGGAACTCCTAAGAGGGTTGTTGTTTGCTACAATTCTTTTTTTTTTTTTTTTTTTTTTAAGTCCTGGCGTTTTGTCAGACATCTGTGGTGAGTGAGTCAGAGAGCCCTAAATTCATCCCTCTAATTTTCAGAGTGTAACTGATGTCCCTGAATTAAGAATTCGCAGCAGACTTTGCTGGTTATATCGATGAGAATAGGAACCTTGCATATGTCAGTATGATCTCTGATGGGTGATTTTTGGACTATTTGTGTAAGGAATCTGCCTTAGTTGTGATGTTAGCTTTCATATAAGATACAGTGAACTGAGGTCAGGCTTTCCRTCTCAGTGTTGTGAATTTATGCTGTTTTTCTTTCTGTTAGGATCAAGTGATTTTAACGGAAAGGAGCTGCCCAGTATCTGTGGAGGGAGGTTCCACAGTCCCAAATTCAGTCAAAAACATGTACGAGAGGACTATCACTATCGCAAAAGGCAATTCAAGTCTAGGTAAGGTAGCTGATGTTAATGTTTTTGTAACCTTTTCAGGAATATCTCATTCTATTTCTCATTTGTTTCCTGTTTTGAAAGAAGTRACTGAATATTTTCATTTTAATGGGGAAAGGCAGAGAAAACTTCAATATTTGATTCTTTGCAACTATTGAGCTATGATAATGGATCCAAATGTCACTACCTTCAGCAGAGAAGTGTCTCAATGAGATTTTGTTTTCTTAAAGAAAAATCATTCAATCACTCGTAAATGCTAACAGTATATTTTAATACCTATTTTAAATTATCTATTATTTAATACAGTGAATAAACATGATACAGTGAGGAGTTACATACTGAAACATGGAAAAACTTTGATCAAAGGATCGCACATTCAGCTTACAAATATAGGTAGACAGCAAAGGATCCTGCTTTCTGTGGTTACTCCAAAGGATCTAAACAAGCTACCAAATTTATATCCCTGAGGGCCCCAATAAAATAAATTAAAAAATAAAAAAAAAATCAGATCACAGATTAACTTAATGGACAATGTCTTCAGTTCAGGTGCTTGGCCTACTTGGATAACTGCTGTTTTTCCTGCTCTCCCTCCCAGGATGCAGAGAAAGCAGGACACAGTGCAGTTCCAGGCATTTGGATTTTGTTGAAACAATTTTGTTAGTAATAACCTAAGGAGAGCTGTGCATTTGCTATACAAGTGTTGTAAATGCAGTGAGCACCCAAAGTACATTTCATGACATGCATAACAGTAAAGCATAACCTAGGGTGGGTTGAGAACTGTCAGACATTAGGAGCATGAAAAGCAAGAATAGCCCCTCATTGTGCATCCGTGCTATGGATGTGATTTATGCTTTCTCCTTGGTTTTGACTGCAGACTTTTTCTTCCAGTTTGTGCCCTGGCTTGGTGTGTTGCCTGGGCACAGTGACCGGTTTCCACACATGGCTACACTGCTTTTAACTTTCATTTGTATAAAAGGAGCTAAATCAAGAGCTGTGAATGAAGTTGAAAGCTGCAGCTGCATCAATTATTTCTGTTGTGAACTGTCTTTTTTGTTTTTTTTTTCCCCYTTTAAATGGCATCACTCATAGCTTGTAATAGCTCTTCAAATCTAGCCATAGCTGGAGCTGTATGCTTTTGTGTGTAATTCAGAAAAGTAAGAGCACTGAGCACAAACATGAAAGAGGCAACTGTGATAGAGTTTCTGATAATGATGAGAATATCTCATTTGGAAGGTTTATGTGAATGTAGATACTAGGACATCCATCCTAGAGGAGGACCTACAGTTTCTGTCTGTAATGTGTTCACTATAGTAACCCCACTAACCTAGGAGGCAGAAGACATCAGTATATCTCTGTTGTATTCTTTCTGTTATAGTGAGAGATAAATCAGGGGCTGATAAGTCTGTTATGCCCGYATTTAAATTATATGAAGTGCAACTAGGCTAACCACAGCTGACATAATTACCTGGGAAATCCTAAATATAAATCTCTAATGTTCAATAATTCCATAGTCTTTTGTCTCTTTAATATTAATTGCCATCAGGATGATGGATTTGAATTCTTTCCAAAATATTAAACGATCACTTCCACATACCAAAATAGATAGGTATATTTCTGTGTCTAAGAAGATTATTGGACAGCTCCTTGCTAGTCAGGGCCACCTTCTTTTTATAGCTTGGCAGCTGTGCTGATCTCTGCTGCAAATGGATATGGGGAGCCAAGACCAGTAAAAGCTCTGTAGTTTCTGGAAGGAGTCCTAAAAAGCATAAGTGAATATTAGTGTTGTTTTTTTCTTCTTATTAGTTTATTTTCTCTTTTTCAGACAGATGCAGAGACAGATGTTTGTATGCTTGGCTGARTTTGTGTTCCCTGGGGGGCTAGAGCTGTTTTCTGAAACCTACTCAGCCAATTCAGACTGTCTCACAAAGTATAAATCTATAGAGAAATATGATCACCCTTTGCTTTTCTAGCCGTGTATGTATATAAATAGTTGGATTTTTTTTTGTAGTTATTGCCCTTGAAACTCTTGCTGTGAGTAGCTGTTGCTATTTTTTTGGAGTCTTTCTCCTTCCATTCGCAGCCTGGGAAGCATGCTAGAGGTTTGCAGATACACAGCTGTGCTAAGTTAACAAGGTAACCTGATGTTTGCTTGCAGAACCAGGAGAGCACAATAAGCTTGTCACTGCCCCTTTCTCCAGGAAATCTTGCTCTGTAAGGCACTCTTCCTTGAGCTGCTTGTCCGTACCAAGGGGCAGCTTCTGTGTTTCTCAGTCCACGAAAATACTTGCTATCCCTGCAGGTACCTTTCGCTTGTCTAGCTTAGGAAAGAGCACCTAGATCTATTATCACTGTTCATTTCAGCACTGCCATGATGTAACAGTGAGAACTCACGCATGTAAAAAAATCCAAAAATACCAAACCCTGTAGTAGGAGTGAGAACCGGAAGCAGAATGTGGGGGTGGGAGAAAGAACAGGAATTTCTGTCTCATTTCCTTTTTGAGAAAATAATAAATTAAATGTTGTGTAGGTTTAGAGAAGCAGGGCACCACTATGCAGCAGGTAGGACCATCATGAAGTCCAAGGAATATTCTGTATCCTTTAGCAGTATGAGCACTCTGGCAGAGGTCAGGATGCACTTCTGGGTCCTCACAGTCAGCAGGATGGCAGTGCTGTCCTTCATGGAGTGTGATTCATCCTCCAGCCTCAGCCATCCCTCTTTTTTTTTTGGCAAATGGTCCATCTCCACAAAGTACAGGAAAATGTGAAGCTTATACTGAGGGAAACATAAAGAGAGATTAATTTAACTAGTTTTAGAATCAAATTCATATCTATTTGCTCTTTTTTTCCTTTTTATTTTTTTTTCTTTTTTTCCCTTTCTCTTTATTTTGCCCCTACCCCTTTTTGGTAGTAAGTTTGATATGTGAGATGACACAAGGCAATTATATTGTGATTGTGCTTTGTGACTCCTGTCTCCTGTTGTGAAGAAGGAAGTGCAAGGAAAACATGAGCAATGCATTGGTTTGCTAGCTTTTACCTTCCTTTAACTAGGATTTACAATGTGTCCTTTGGGACTCAGATGAGTAGTGTGTGTTTTGACCTTTATAAAGATGAGAATTAACTGTTATCTGCTGCATGCTTGTTTCGTTATAGGGATGACAGTAAGTTCCAATAAAGATGGCTCAGGAATGATAGTCCGCAGTGTCATCCATGGAGGCTCAATAAGTCGTGACGGACGAATTGGTGTGGGGGACTGTATCCTGTCTATTAATGAAGAATCAACCTCTAACTTAACCAATGCACAAGCCCGGGCTATGCTAAGGAGGCATTCACTCATTGGACCAGATATAAAGTAGGTAAAGCTAGAATACGAATTATGGTAGGAAAAGGCTAGCAACTGAAAATTGCCTGTGAATATCCTAAATTGGGACTTTGTTTCTTTTCTTTTACTATGTGAATTCATCTTTAAATTACAACTGCCTATAGATAATTCATTTTCAGATCACAGCTTCTTGGGTTTGAAAGATAAAATCATGTGTGTAAAAGGCTTTGGATGTTTTTAAAAAAGCCATTGTCATTAGTTATCATCATCATTGGCCTTACTGAAGAAGTAGTATAACTCCTACTTCAATATGAGCGTTTAATACGACTCTGATTTTTTTTCCCCAAAATTGGGCTGTTTGATCCAGCATTGTCATTGTTGAAGAGTTGCAGTCAAAGTTCTGTCTTCATAGTCASATCTTTCTGAAGAAAGTAAGATATGTTTGTGTTTCTGAAACATGAACTGTCCTGGCCATTGCACAAATGATTTTATGTAATCTCTTTCTAGTGGATTTTGCTGTTGACTGCCAGACAGAAAGTATGACACATGATATTAATGCAGAAAAATAATGTTTATAAAATTTTCAATACATCTGTGAGAAACAGTATAACAGTTTGTTATCTGAAGTCATTTCCAAGTTTTTATTAGTGTGTGTATATACATGTGTGTGTATATATATATATATATATATATAAAGGAGCTTTTGTTCTAGTACATAAATACCTATTCTTTGGAGTACTCTTTACAACTTATATTTTTTTAACAGACCACTTGAAAAATCCATTTGCTTGGTCTAAATTTATCCTCAAGTTACTTTCAACTTACAGAATTTTAACTTTTCTTTAAAGTGATTTTTTTTTCCTAGCTGCTGCAGTCGTGGAGTAATCTCTACCAGCATACACACCATTTAGAAATGGTATTTCAAGCAAGTTCCTAAGACAGAATCCCAGGCCCATAAATGCAGGATTTACGGCTCAGAGAAACTATTAGCTGTTTTTCTGAAATCCATATTAATGTAGATTGGATCAGGTCTACTCGTGGTATTGCCAGACCTGCCTGCACAGGATGCCTCTAGTTATTTAGGAAGGTAGCTTTGGAAAAGAACAATTGAGCCCAAGTGGCAGGTAATCATGTATTTTTTGTGCATTAAATGGGCTGCATAACATTTCCTTTTTCCCCTCAAATTGTTCTAGTTTTGAACCGATCTCACTTGGAGAGAATAGCCACGCAAGGAATCTTCACTAAGGGCAGCAGGTTTAATTGTCTGCCACACAGCTGTCTTGTGCTTAGGATTTAATGCAGGCTTTTTAAAATGATGAGATATGCTCATATAATGAATTGCATTACTGCCAATGCTCTCACAAATATGAGTGAGCCAGGGATGATAAAACATGAAACTGAGTATTATTCTAGGCTTTCAAAGTGTATTATAATTCCCACTGTGAGTACTAAAATCAAACTGGAATGTGCGCGTGCATGTGCGTGTATGTCTGCCTGGATACACAAATGCCAGAGCACCAATTTTCTGTGAGGAGTCTTTTATTAATGCTGATGTTATGCAGTCAGACACAGATGTGTTTATTATTTGTGCTTATCCGTTTATAGCTGCTACATTTCATACTATATGAATAGAAATTTTGTTCTGTAGTCATAGCCATCTTCTGGATTGGTCTGGAAGACCAAAATCTCATTTGAGACATGAGTTTTCAGTTATCCTGGGAAAATTAACTGCTTTTTTGAGAGGTCTTGCAGGAAAAATTCTGACAAGAATTTTGGCTTTCGCTATGTRTTTTTTGGAGCATTCCTCTGATAGCTGTTGAAATAAATCCAGGTTCTTCATTTCAAGTAAATGAGAGACCAAACCTTTGATAGCTTCCAAATCTTGCAAAAGTAAGGATGGATTTTTATTGTCCTGCACAGCTATTTTGTGAGTATAGGTGAGGTCCTCTTTAATTTCTACTTCCAAGAGCAGTACAAGGTCCCAGAAACGTATTTTGATACAAATGTCTGAGGAAGTGTGCTATATCAGGTATTTGGAGGTACAGAGTGTAGGAGTACTGTTACGATTCCTGTTTGCTCAGATGGCCTAAAATATAAACCCCCTACTGCAAAACTAACGCAGTACAGCWCCGTGCAAGAGGTCTCAGAGATTTAATGACTTGCCTTTAAACAAAGCAGAAAATGAGTCTCTGCAGTTTTATCCTGGGAAAACAAGAGTGCACAACCACCCAAATGTTGTGGCCACCATGATTATTGTTTGTTTTTATCTGTGCATGGCTTCAAAGGCTGCTGAGCTTTTTGGGGTACTACGGTAGCTCCAAAAGGAGCATAAATATTTCAATCTAAAAGCTATATATTCATTGGCAAAAATTTTCTGAGAAARCATCACGCTGTTTTTAATTGATACATAAGATACTGTTTTATTTCATTCAAGAAAATTGTATTTTATTAATTCAAGCTGACTTCCAGATTTATGTATTTACTTTTTTTCTCCCTTTGTGTGTAGAAGACCAGATGTGTGGCCTTACTAGAACACATTCTGTTTCATTTCTCTTCCCACCTTGCCAGGAGTTCTTATGTTTCAGCAATAACAGCAAGAGGTTTGTGCTCAGCAGCAGCTGCTTGTAGCATCTGCAGGGTAATTACTGAGCTGAATCAGAATTCACCTGCCTTCACCTAAAGTGTGGGGATGAATTCCTGATTGAGGACAGTGTTCACTGCAATTCCTTTTTTCTGGGCTTGTTAATAATCACTGATATAGACACTAATAAAGCGCAAATGCTTTCTGGGAGATATGTAGACTGAGTCAAGGTGAAATAAAGAAAGGAATAAAGGAGAAAGCAAAGAAGAAAAAAGAAAAGAAAAGCAGGTCACACTTTTATCTACATAAGCATGGCTTGCGCATTCAGCATGAGACATTGACATTGTTAACACTATTGTAAAAAGATGCTGCATCATATGCTTCACATTCTAGATCTTCTCCAGCACCTGCTGATGATCAGGCCCTCTTTTATGTGTGAGTATTGGTGATTCAAAAACTCATTATGGCTCTGTGTTGCAACTTGTCTGTAAAACCATTTCATGCTTTTATGACATCTGTAATGTCAGGGATATATCCAGATATAGGTACATATTCTGTGTGTGTTTGTGTGCATGTGGCTATARAAATGTGTTTGTGAGTGTATGTATGTTTATGCTTCTACAAATCCATATGGCTTTGAACCTGAAGATTGGAGCATGCTTCCTAAAACTGAGATAAAATCACCTCTATTCTAAAATAAATTTATATTTTAAATTTAGTCTGTGTTAGCCACCCTAAATGTGCTCAGAGCACGTGTGTGTGCATAGAGTTCACTGCAAGAATTGACATGAGTATGATGTACTGATATCTGGATTAATCTCAGTGTCATATTTTCTGTGGCACTTACTTACATTTTACTTTTGTCACCTATAAAAAGGATAGACGCTAATTTTTAATGACAGTAATTTGTCCTGAAGGTTTTACATACTTCATTATGTGATTTGTTGGTGTTTCAAGGTTGTGGCTGTTAAGTCCAGCATGTGGTAAATGTTCCTCTGCATGCAGTGTTGTGTTTACAAGATGTTTTCATATGTACACCATTTGGTGTTTCCATCGTCGCTGCTTCCATTGCTAGTGCGTATCTCTGTGGGCGGGGGGATGGAGGGTTGCATCTTGCAAAAAAGGAAAAAACACTTTCCTCTTGAAGCAGAACAGCTATGAAAGAGTGGATGTGTTCAATCTTTGTGTATGCTTTCCCTTGAAATTGTTGGATCTTAGCTTCTCTTGCAGATCAGAAATGCACCTGAGTAGTAAAGCAGTCATTGACTTGTTTCCTCTGTTTTCTCTGTCTTCCCCCCCTCTTTTTCCTGACYTTTGCTTCTCTTTTTCTTTCTTTCCTCCCTGTGATACTTTAAAGCAGATAGTGGATGCCTGGGTTGCACTAGGTCAGCAGAGGTCCTGCAGCCCCAAAGCACCTCCTGGTCATGGTCCAGCTGGGGGCATGCTCTAGGCATAGTATCTTCAGACTTTGTGGAGACCTCCAAGAAGTGAACAAGGAGAGACAAATTTGCTCCCTCCAACTGATTTTCAGTAGAGCTAGCTTTGTGTATTCATCTTCATTTCAGTAATAGTTTGCAGAGGAGAGAGTCGAGCACATTTCTGATCAACTGTCATGCCAATACTATAGCTTAGGTAATAAGAGCAGTTGGGGAAAGCTTTCTGGTTAACTGACCTTGGGAAATTAGGAGGCAAGAAACAGAAACTCCTACAAAGAACACACCTTTTCCTGCATTTGTAGGAATGTAATTTAGTTTTCTTTTTTTTTTTTTTTCCCTAATATGATATTTTGTGATATTCAAGTATGTATCCTGGACTGTATTTGTGAAATAGATGAAGCATTATTAAAATTTATTTGCAGATGACAGCACATAGCTGAGATACATGGAATGTTTCTTTGCTTGAAATTAAATCTATAGGTAAGACACTAAATTAGGAAAAAATGTAGTTCTCAGAGGAGCTAAAATTTAATAGCTCCCAGTGATACAATCTAAACTTGAATCCATCTGTGGAAATTAATTAGGTAATTCAACTTTAGATGGCCAGTTTTAAAATGGCAGAGTGAATTGCACAATAGATACCTCTGTAAAAGATTTGTGGGGAGGTAATAGCAGGTAACATGTAAGGATCTTTGAGAGCATCCTTTGAGCCTTACCTTTCAAATACCCTCATATAATGTCAATTATTCACTGATATAATTAATCTACAAGGTATCCCATATGCTGAAGAGCATATGCTATCTCTCCCTTATTAGCTGATTTCTCCTGCTAACGTTGCATGAGGGTATGGGGCGAGAGGTAAGGACTACTGCTCTCGTTGGACCTTCTGATCTAGCAAAATCATTTGCCCTGTGCTCCCTGCAAAAAAAAGGACTAGGCGAGAGCTGAAATGTGCAACACACTCTACCATCAGCAATCACTCTCTGATGTTTTCATCTGGGATGAATCTTGAGTCTCAGTGCATCTGTTTCCCGTCCAAGAGCCTGCCGTTCTACATTGTGTGTTACAAACAAAAGMTTCCAGCTACAGCTGAGAATAAAGGAGATGGTCCAAATGTTCCAGCCAGCAGAAACATTGCTGTATTGCAATGCTGTATTGCTGTAAAGACACTCGAGCGTCTTTATTGCCACTGCCTTTCAGGGAAAAATGTATTATTTTATACTTATTTTTGTGGAGTGAAATTCGATGAATTTGAGGGATAGGTGGATGTAACTGGGTGAATGATGCATTTTTTTCACTAAAATGCAATTTGCACATTTTGTGGCTTTTACGATGGCAAGAATCTTACAAGCTTACTGGATGGAACATCTGTAGCAGCATTTGTCCCTGTGAGAGCTTTATGAGCATAATACAGCACTTATGGATTTGGAGATGGCTGATGAGCAGTTGTAGTTGCTTTCAAAAACTGAAGACTATCAAAGATTATCTAAAATAACAATTTCTGATGTTTCTCCCACCTTGGTACTCTCTGTATCACTGTTTAGGCTTGGTAGAGGAGGTGTGTTGTGCTGTTGTGTATTCTTTGGTTCTGGCATGCCCTCGGGAGAGACAGGTAAAAATCAGAGACTTTATGCTGATTATTCATGTTACTTTTTGAGCACTTCAGGATGGAAGGACTTTGAATGCATTGTTGTGCATGAAAAAAAGAAACAGGCTAAGGCAGAGAGGAAATAGACTTTAAGGAAGAGAGAAAGCAGATGATAGTATCTAGTACATCCATTAGAGATAGYGGCCCTCTGCAGCACTTTTCAAGATGCAGTGGCTGTGAGGAGGTAGGATGTAGTGTCTAGTTTTATTTTGTTTTGTTAGAGAAAGATTCCTCATTCGTTGCTCTTCTTTCTTCTCTCTGTCTCCCTGTGCTCTCTCTCTGGTCTTCAACCCTGCTTGAGTTATACCAGGGCTTCTGGAGTCTTCACCTCGTTTGGCCAGTGAAATATGACTGACTGACTTTCCCAAGCTGTCTGGAAGTGCACAGTGATGTGGTAGGAAGGATCTGAGCACAGGCAGGGGGATTATCCCTGCAGCTTATTTTTTTGTGCTCTGTTTGTGTGTCCAAGCCCATGAAGTGTTTTCCACCGAAACCTAAGGCAGATCCCAAATTTCTGTCGAATCCACAGAACCTTCTACACACTTAACTTCCAGAAGCATTTTCAGCCAGCATGCAGTGCACAGCTTCCAAATCCTTCAGTATTTGTCTGCATGAGGTATCTCTGTTTTGCACGCAACTATCGGCAGGACTGTCTCAACTGTACTTCGTCACTGCCCAAAAATCATTTACTTAAAGCATAGTGGTGAACCCTAAGTAGTTTGTTGTTCAGCTGCCTGGTTTGAACATAGATACTTAATTCTAAGTCACACGGGTTGTATATAAGTTCATATTCCTGAGAGATCAGCGAGATGACGTTGAAGTCAGTGGCTGTTTGAAGTAGTCTGTAGTGGCTTCCATGTACCCATTCCTCACACCCACCAAAGGCAGGTCCAGCACTTCTGATATTTAATCATATTCTGTTCTTTGCAGTGTTACCTATGTGGCAGCAGAAAATTTAGAAGAGTACCGAGCCAGTTTAGGACAACAGACAGAGGGATCTGTGCCACCTGATGTTTTCTCTTCACATGCAGTCAGGTGAGTTAAAAGACTTTTACCCACAATGAGTCTCCTTGGTTTAGTTTCTTTTCCAAATAATAGCAAACTTTGTATTGTTCTGCTCAGGCAAATAAGCTTTGGTTTACAAGATTCAAATGATGAGTGATCCTCTTCAGACTGGCAGCTCTCACAGTAAAAAGTTGATAAGAATTCATTTTTTTGCTTTGGTTAGCAAATTCCATAGATGTTTCTGTGTTGATAGACTTTATTTCTTACACTTCCTTAGATAAATGCTCTATGAAAAATATAGACTGTATGCAGGTATCCTTTATTTCTTCTAAACTCTTTTCTAAAAGCAGCAATCTCAAAACAGTAAGAAAAAATACTGATTTGATACACTAGTATAAAAGAAGAACTGTAACAACAGAAAATAGTTGTTTTAATCAAATAGAAAGTTAGACCATAAAAATTTTGTAAGAGTGAAGCTATCTAATTCTGTATGACTCTGCGTTCTCAATACTTGCAACACTGGAGTTTAGCATTAGTCACTTCTCCAGCATCTATCTGGAGATATGAGAATGAACTGTGCCATTCTTTGCCTTTGRTTTCAAATATGGAATGCAACTATAAGCCAGGAAATTCAAAGTAACTAATAATATTCTCCCTTCCTCCCATTTCTTTCCTACTTTTATAATCTGGTCTTTGAGCTCTTTAAAGAGATTTGATTTTAAGGGAATGCACATGGTGGTTTCTGATATCTTAATATCTGAAGATAATCCCCAATCTTAATATCTGAAGATAATCCCCAAAAGCACTAACTGTTCTTGTGGACAGTGTTTTTACTCCTTCTATTTTGGAAACAATAAACAAAACATAATCTCTTTTATGTTTTAAGTGTCACTTAATAAAAACTTAATTACTGATACAAGTGAAAGGCGAATTCCCAAATACAATATGTCTGCTGGATGTGTTGTAAGGGTGCTGCTTGACTGCTGACTCTAGATATTTTGCAGTTGCACTGTAAAAGTTTTTTTATAACATAAAGAGAACAATGAAAGACAAATGTCAGTCTAACGCATTTTAAATGCTTAAAATTCTTTGAAATAGGGTTTCAGCTTTGTATTATAATTATTTAATTATATAGTTATTGTAAATATGTATTTTTGCATCTTCTGGAAGATTATTGGGTTCTTTCGTTTATATCATAACTGCAATTTACAGGTAGTGTACAAATTCTGCTGCTAGTAGTTTGGTACAGTACATGAAATGTTGCTGTGAAATCTATTGATTATTTGCATTTTAAAAATATATTGCCTCTTCCTGTTTCTTAGCAAGGAAATTCCAGAACTTCCAGAACGAGAAGAGGGGGAGGGAGAAGAAAGTGAACTTCAAAATGCAACTTTTAGTAACTGGAACCAGCCCAGGAAGTAAGTATGGATCCACTGATCATGTAAAATCTCATCTCAAAAAATTAAAAAAAAAAATGTGAAAAGTTTGATATATTTTAAAGTAAATAAGAAAACAACAGAAATACTGCACTTAGATGTATCATCCATTACAAGAATAATTCTTTGTTGATATTTACATTGGCTAAATCCCTGCAGTTTGTGGATTGCCTTGGTAATTTATCTTTATACGCTAGATCTGTGGGACCTCATAGGAAGAAATAAAGAGATGATTCAAAATTTTAATTAGAAGCCAAATGAAATGAAGGGCAGTAGATACAACTATAGACCCAGTAAATAATTACCAGTGAGAAACAAATTAACTTTACAGGAATAGTTATCTGTAAATGKCTATTTAACAAAAATGTGCAAATAGGTGTGTCTTCAGAAGGCAGAGCAGAGAGGATGTTATTAAAATCACAGCACATCTTCACTTACTCTTATTTTTGCTTTTGCTGTGGCAGGGTTGAACTTTGGAGAGAGCCTAGCAAGTCGCTGGGGATCAGCATCGTTGGTGGGCGAGGAATGGGGAGCCGCCTGAGTAACGGGGAAGTGATGAGAGGCATCTTCATCAAACACATCCTGGAAGACAGCCCCGCAGGCAAAAATGGCACACTGAAAACTGGAGACCGAATTGTGGAGGTATTGGCTCACTTCCCTTTTCTTCCACTGCCTCTCACACCCTAGATGCTGCCGAGATGGGAGCTCGGTCTTGAGGTGACGCCTCTGTGGTTGCTCCAGCTGGCAGCACTTGAGCCATGCAGTGGTACCATCTGTTGAGTCTTGCATACATACAGCTTTAAGTTCAGGATAAGTTCTGTTGTTGTATATGTGGCTGATTGCGTGTGCAGGGATCTACTTAGCCTGTGATTCTGTATCTCTCTTTTGAAGTTAGAATGTTTAGGATAAAACTTGCTTTGATGAATCCGAGAAGCTCTACCACTGCATTCTGGATAGCAACAAAAGTGGTCAGAAATTGGGAAATCAATCAAAGAAATACCAAAGAATCTCCATGTTAAATCTAGCATACCTTTTGTAGGAATTAATCTTTCTTTTTCCTACTGACATGAGAATACATGAATTTGACAGGGAGGAGTTGCAAGGAAGCTAGGAGCACGTATTCATGCCTGAGTATATGGGAAACCAGTGGTGTTGCAGAGAGGAATTTGCCCAGATTTTTCATCTCCTGTTTAGCCAGTTCTGTGATTTTTACAGTGATTTTTTTTTTTTGGCTTCCTTGTTCAGATAAATTGTTGAATGAGCATGCTAAAATGTATATTTCCAGAGATGATTTTCAGACAGATGGTGGAGACTATGACTCTTCCTTTAAAAGAATGTGAGCCTACTTTAGACCAAGATTTTAGAACTGAGGAGGCACAATGTCCAAATATAAGATCTTGAAATAATGCATAAATATAAACAGTGCTTTCTAGAGCAGGATGGAGGAGCTTCCAATGTATAACAAGTTCGGAGATGGAGTTTTGCTGAGTGGCCACAAAGTAAAATTAATTAAAACTGAATACCAGGATTTTTATCAGGATATCAGTGGTTATTGTCTTTGTTAATATAGTGCTTKCAGAATTGAAAGTGGGTGAGCAAATTTCATAATTACTAGTGAGTGTTTCTGAATGGATGGTTTCTGTTCCTCAAGTTGTGCCCTACCTAGGCCTTCCTCTCTGTTAGTGTACATAGTATTTCAGACAGGGAAGACCACAGAACTGTAACATTACATTTCATGTCTTAGATTTCAAATACTTTCTTTCAGATCATTTTCTTTCTCTCCTTGTTTTTACATTGGATGGTTAAGTTTAAGAGTTTTGCTATTGAAGAGGCAGAGGTGAATTTCATTAAATAACTTTCTGTGCAAGAATTGCCACTAACAAGTAACCTGTGTTAGCTTGTAGCTTTTTTTGTGGTCACTGTGTGAATGCTTTACTGATGCTAACCTCACTGTAACATGGTTCTTACCTGGACAGCAAGAGAAAGTATTTTATACACAAGCACACAGGAAGGCACAGAGTCAACCAGTGAAACATTTGTTCTTAGCCATCCTTTGTAAATGCTTTCTTTAAGAAGACAGAAGGCTTTTCAGCTTAAAAAATTGAATTCTGGGGAAAAAAACAAATGGCTAAAATTAGTCTTCATTATAAAGATTATTATTATAAAGACTACTTTATTATAAAAATGTGTTATAAATAATTATTATAAAAAAAGAAAAAATATTGTTTACTAACATTATACCCCGGAATGAAAGATCTCCAGTCAGTTTCAGTCTGCTACATCTTACCAATTGCTGAAGTTACTCTGAGATAGGATTTACTTGAAGCAGTGTTGGCAAATGCTGTGTCTGTGTTCATATAGTTTTATGCTCTATATCCCATTGGCTATGGGAAAATGAGTGAAGCTTGATCCAAGAACCTGAAATTTGTGATTAGGGGCAGGGAATCATCCCAGCTCCTGTAAGAATAAAAGCTTAGCAATAAAAGGGTTCTTTGAAGTCCTCTCAGCACTCTTGGAAATCCCAGCCCTGCATATACGGACTTTGTTCCCCTTCAGGCCAAGTCAGGTCAGAAGCCACTAACTGTGGTGATGTGGGCTTAGGTTTCTGTAGAAACTCCAAGATGAAAATCCCAAAGCTGATTCATGATACTATTAGCTTCTTGTGATGATGAGATGAGGCCTTCCAATTACAGGTGGATGGAATTGACCTCAGAGATGCCAGCCACGAACAAGCTGTGGAAGCCATACGGAAGGCAGGCAACCCTGTAGTCTTTATGGTACAAAGCATTATAAGCAGACCAAGGGTAAGCATAAAAAATATGAGAGATATACTATGTAGTAGTAGATGAAATAAATGTTTAAGGTGGTGGTGTTTGGGAATGGGATATTTAATCCTGAAACTTCCATCTCAGCTCTTCTAGGAACAAAGATTTGATTTAAGTATTATTTCTATTTAGAATGAAATCGATTTGGAATTGGAATTACCCTCCAGCACGCCGTCCTCAAACTATTTTGAAAAGCCTCAAGAATGATAATTTGTTGGGGGGCAGAGTAGGAGTCTAACTAAAATCAACTGTTAGAGATTGACAGCATGTCTGAGGAGCGCATGCAGAAATACAACATCTGTTAAAATATTCATTGGACATTAATGAAAGGACATAGAAGTATACGGAAGTTTTCTGTCACTAAACTGCATGGACATTGCAGACACAAGCTAATGGGCTTTATTAGAATTGCTTACATCACATGAAACTAAACTTCCTCGTTGTATAGTCTATGTAAGCTGCATGTTTATTTACTAGTTGTCTCATAACTCTTGTTCCCCAGCCAGAGTCTCTTTATAGCCCTTCTTCAGCTTCTGCTCCCTGTGGGCAGAAACCTACTAACCCCTTTTATCGTCAGTCATCTGAGGTAAAGTTGCATGAATAAAACCTCTTGAATGTTGAGTTTTGATACTTGAGATGCTGAAATGGCTTTTGTGTTTGCTGTGAGGTGAACTGAGTACTGAGTAATCAGGACCCTGTTTGGGATGTGAGAGATGCCATTATTTTCATACTCATTTTTTTCTCATTTAGAGAATGCTCCTTTGCTATTTTTAGTTACATTTTGTTCTATTTTTTTTCCACTTATTAAGCTTGTTGGTTATTTCTTGATTGTTTATTAACAAACTTTTGTTTCTCTGTAAGCAGAAGCGTTGCAAATGCTCTTACTGTACACATGCTTTATGTTGTGATCTTTGTAAACGGTGTTACTTTTATTGTCTTCATTTTCTGAAACTTGCATCTGTACTTTAGAATAAGACCTTTAAGGGAATTTCCTGCCTCCATTCATGTGCAGTCAACCAGACAGCTAGCTGCCAGCAAACAGGAGCTGCATTTAATATGGTACTGCTGTGTTTTGTAAGGCAGTCATTTACAAGTGACATATTACTATTGAGTAAAATTTTCTTTCATTCTTTCAGTCTATCCTTCTCTGATTCTCTTTCCCTCCCTTCTTTCCCCCTCCCTCCCTTCTTTCCCCCTCCCTCCCTTCTTTCCCCCTCCCTCCCTTCTTTCCCCCTCCCTCCCTTCTTTCCCCC